GTGCATGATGAAACCATAAGGGACAGTTATAAAATACTGCTTTCAGATATCAGCATTTTGCACTCCTCTGATGCATTGTATACCATCTAAATAAATTAATAATTAATAAATATTAACTAATTAAATTCTAATGCTTTGCTAGCATTAGCAAGAAAGTGAATAGTAGGCAAATGGCTGAATCCTAAGCCACTACATTTTATTTACATTTATAGATAAACACTGGTACCTATCTTAATGATAATACAAAGGGCATTGCCAAGTAATAGAAATACCTAAAAATAAATATTGTAATTATATCTTAAATGAATATCCTTTGGCTAGTTTTTATGAACTCTGTGCCAATGGACATTTCTAGAGTTCTGACAAGAAATTACCAAATAAAATTTATTTTTTGAGGTAGTTTTTTAAAAGGAGCAGGAGTAAAATGCTGGTTTCTTGTCCATATATTGTAGATGAGACAAGATCAGCATTGGCTTTATAAAGTTATATCTCACTGTTACTAAGTCTAAAAGACTTAGTTTTTAGGATTCTATTTTTAAAAAAAGAATACATCATGCTGACTGTTGTTTATTGCTTTTATATATCTATATATAGCATTTTGAGTTGATGAAATGTCTCATTTCAAATAAGTAAATATATCTATCCCCCAAAATGCACAGGAGCAAGCTGATTAAAATCCAAAGGGTGCTTTTTCAAGAGGCAACTGGACTTGTTTTTGTCTTTGAAGACATTTCATTTCTCATCCAAGAAGTTTCTTCAGCTCTGACTGGATGGTGCGGAATGGAAGGATTTATATTCCTGGCAGACAGCTGGTCATTTGCATTCTTTTAGAGAGTTGTTGAAGCCACTTGAAAATTTATCTGTGTCCTGAAGTGTGTGGAACCGTCTTAGAACTGCTTGGTATATGCCAGTGGTGGCAAACCTATGGCACAGATGCCAGAGGCGGCACTCAGAGCCCTCTCTGTGGGCATGCGCGCCGTCACCCCAGTCCTAGGCCTTCAGCTGGGTTTTATAAAACCTTTTTTGCTTTAGGCCTCCGCCGCCATGTGCAAAAAAAAAAAGGTTCAATCAATCAGTCAATTTCAACTTCTCGCGGGAAAAAAAAGATCTTGCAGAGTTGGAATTGATTGATTGACCTTTTTAGTCCCACCCAGTCTGCTGTTACCACCAGAGCCATGCCCACCCAATGGGCCACATCCACCCAATTGGCCACATCTACCCAATGGGCCACACCCACCCAGCACCCAACAATGCATAAGTGGGTTTTGGGTTGCATTTGGGGTACTCAGTCTCTAAAAGGTTCGCCATCACTGATATATGCAGAGACATCTGCAGATCTGTACATTGGGGAAACAAAACAACCACTTTATAAATGCATGGCACAGCATAGGAGAAAAAACTCATCAGGATAAGATTCAGCAGCCCACCTGCATTTAAAAGACAAAGGCCACTCTTTTGAAGGCAGTAAAGTCCACATTCTGGACAGAGAGGACTGCTGGTTTGAAAGAGGGCTCAAAGAGGCCATCTATGTCAAAAATGTCTTTCAATAGAGGGGGGAGGAATATGACAGCATCTAACTTCAGTCTACAACACAGTCCTTTCAGCAGTTCAAAGAAGGCTCCACACCCATTTGCACCACTCACGTGACCCTGAGGACACATAAACCTCCAAGTGGCCTCAACAACTCTAAAATAATGTAAATGACCAGCTGTCTGTAAGGAATATAAATCCTTTCCCCACCATCCAGTCAGAGCTGAAGAAGCTTCTTGGAAGAGAAGCGAAACATCTTCAAAGAAAAACAAATCCAATTGCCTCTTGATAAAGCTCCTTTGGGACAACCATGACCTAGATCAGGGGTAGAGGTTGCCTACCCCTGACCTAGATGACTGAGAATCTCCATAGACATTAAGCTGATTAAAACTGCTGGAGAAAAAAGAAATTTATCAAGTTGATTAGGAAAACTCACATTTCTTTGGAGTAAATTTGTGAAAGAAACTAAGGACTTGGTAGAGATAACTGAGACTAATTCAATTACAGTATTGACCCAATAAGAGTAAATAGTTAACCAAGAAAACAGAAAATTCAGTGAGGTGTTTGATAATCACTCAATTTTTTTTCCATAAGGCTCTCATTGACATTCAGAAAATAATGGGAATGAAGATAATTTTTGAAGATACTTTATTTTGCTGAATACTTTTTAAATCTATGGGTCTGGTAACAAATATAATTACAGCTTTTTTCAGACAGTTTTTGATATGAAAAATTCAATTGTAAGTGTAGTTTAAACATCCATAAAAGATTATACATTGCACTAACTTTAAGTGATATTTTCTCTAATTGAGAACAGATGTTTAGACACTGACTGCCCACCCCCCACCCCACCCCATATTAAATAAGAGAAAAATGCAAGGAGAAGTAATAACTCCATTGATTTCTGTTCCTTTATTTCCTGCTGCAGAGCTACACCTGCAAAGACAACTGTCCTATTTTTGTTGTTGAGCAACTAATTTTAGGTACAATCGACAAATGTTTATTACATGAGAGTAAATACTGCCTTCATGAAACATACCAGCAATTTTTTTACTATGCCATCAAATATTTTTCCTCTGAGCAGCTTAACAGGAAAGTTAATGAGTTATTAAACCAACTACTTCTTCATATCATAGTAACTTGTATTTATGGACAGATGTTAAATATAATATTAATTACAACTATACAACCCATTGTACATTTGGTCATCATTTCAGACATATTTCTTTACCTAAGCAGAGAAACAGAATGACAGTAGGGTGAATAAAAAATTAGAAAAAATCAGTGGAAGCGGGAGTGACTTCCAATTTCCTATTATCTTCCCCATTGAGTTTCCTTGTGAGAAACTGGTAGTGAGTATTGGAAATCTTCCTTTCTTTGCCCTGCCCTGCCCTACCAGCAGGTAAATGGCTGCTGCCGGGTGGGGGAAGGAGCAAGGGAGTGCACAAATGATGGCTCAGTATGAGTACAGAAGAACTGGACCATTTCCTCATTGACTTTCTCCCTGCAAGCTTCCCACAACGAACAACTTTGCTTGTATGAAGGTGACTAGAAATGTAGGAGAATCGGCAGCCATATCAGTTCCTTCTGGGTTCTCCATGGTTTGTGGGGAGGCTGTAAGGAAACATTGAAATGGGGATCACATGAACGCAGCTTTTCATAGCTATGCTGAGGTGGCAAAAAAATTCCACAAATTTCACTAATGGGTACTGGGTCTTGGCATTCTGTAAGTTAGTCCATTTGAGATAACTTTGCCTTTTGTTGACAAAGGTTTGCTCTATATTGCAGCATTTCACCCAGTTGAAGATTGCAAAGTATCAAACAGACACAAGTGTTTAGCAATATACAGATAAAATCACTGTTATGTCAGCAGTTGTCTTTCTAGGTCAGACATGTCAAACTCGCAATGTCACATGATGTTGCGCAATGTATCGGAGCTTTTTCGCCATTGCCAGCAATGGGGTGGGCATGGTTTCCCGATGACATGTCCGGCCTGTGGGCCGGCAGTTTGATACTCCTGTTCTAGGTTTTCCCCCTTCATTGAAATTTTCAATTCATGCATACATTTGAATTTTGCACCTAACCACTCAGGAATCAAAGTATTCTTTTATGAAATACTTGGAACTTTTAAAAAAATGCTTACTTTTTACATCTTATCTCTCTTAGTCCCAGTAAGAGGGACTAAGCTATCCATATATATTATTGGGTTTACAAGAACAAGGCCACTCAAGAAAGAATAGCCTTATTATGAAAGAGAAGAGCACCATATAGAAACAATACAAACAGTTCTGTGATTAAGATAAAGAGGAACAAACTGATGCAAAACAAACTGGTCCTAAAACAAGATTGCAACAAAGAATTCTTGACAGCAGATATTGCAGAAGATAAAGTTACCCTCCCTACTTCTCCATTTTGTTTGTTACATAATTATAGAAACTAACCAATTACAGATTTTTTGTTGGATAGATCACTGACTGGTTTCCCACTAAATAGGAAAAAAAATATTTTCTACAATATTATCTTAGTATGGTTTCTTTTGATTGCCTTTTGATTGATCTGTCCAACTGTTCTTAGCTCTGTGTCAGCATGAAGCCTATTTATAGATTCAGATACACATATTTGAATATATGTGTAAAATATATTTTTGATCTGCATTGTTGATAAATAGGACCACCTTATTGGAGCTGAGGAAATCAATAGATTGCTGTTGTCTAGTACAATTGACAACTACAACTGAGCCCAGAAGTTCCCTTGCTAAGCAAGATAGTGCTTAGTGAATTTTGCTCCACGTTACAACCTTTCTTGCCACAGTTGTTAAGTGAATCACTGCTGTTGTTAAGCTAGTAACATGGTTGTTAAGTGAATTTGGCTTCCCCACTGACTTTGAGAGAAAGTCGCAAAAGGTGATCACATGACCCCAAGACACTACAACTGTCATGAGTCAGTTGCCAAACATCTGAATTTTAATCACATGACCATGGGGATACTGCAATGATTGTAAGTGTGAAAGAATTATAAGTCACTTTTTTCAGTGCCATTGTAACTTTGAACAGTGACTAAATGAACTGTTGTAAGTCAAGGATTACCTGTAGCTACATAGACTTTGTAGCCCAAGAATAATAGCCCTATGTTAGGTAGTTAGACATTGTTCTTGTATCCCTAGGTAGGCATCATATTGTCAGTTGCCTGACTATTAACACAGTAATAATTAAAAAAATTTATTGGCCGAGTGCAATTGAACACAAACAGAATTATTCATGTGTATTCTTTCTTAGGGGAGGTAACAGAAATCTACTTAAAACAAATTCTTCCCAGGCTTGGTTTTGGCGGCATGCTTATTAGGTTGGAAGGGAGGGGAATGGTGACCATTAAGTTTGATGCAAATAGACTGACTTTGTTTCAACATGCTAGGAATATTAAGAAACCTTTTTCCTGAGAAAATAGGTTAAAAGTCTAAGCACAATTCTTTATGAAGGTTAATTTTTTTATTTCTGTAAGTCAACACTGATTCAAGGCACATTCACATGCTATATAAGTCTCCTTTTATATCTTTGTAGTCTTTTATGCATATCCTCAGGTTGTGTATGGAAAATAACTTCTCTTTAGAATCTTTTCCTGATCTGAAATATGTCTTTGAAACTTTCTCCAGTATTTGAATAGATTTTTAAAAGTTTATTTGCAGCAGTATAATAGCACCTTGTGATCTTCTGAAAGCATTTTATCTGTACACCCACTTATTGTTTAGCGACCATGTTCCATTCTAGTGATCAGATCATTAAATGAAATGGTCACTAAGTGAACACATGATAGAGAGATCACTGATTGCTGTTGTTTCATTCAGATAAAGTTGTGTTGCACAGCTAAGTCAGTATTACTCTCGCTCTGGCATGTGTTGTCAGGAGCACAAAATTTGTTTGTAAATGCATGCATTGGTCAGAAAATGAATTTTATTACCTTTGTGTTTGTGAATAGTTGCTAACTGAGATCATTAAAGAAGGAGTGGGTGTATCTGCTTTTTCCAAAAGAAAATGTTGATACTTGAAGTAGAAATATTGAACACTTTTTAAAGTAATGTTTGATTTTCTTTATCTCTTATGAGATAGGCCTGATTCTCCCCTCCCCATCTAAATGCTACCGCATCTAAGTGCTAAACCTTCTAGCCATGCACCTCTTCATTGTTAAACTAGAAAGTGGTACAATTCAGCTTATTTCATCCATTTACCTTCTAGCCTTTTTTTAACCATTTTTATCTTTTAATAGACAGAAAGGTGGCAGAGGTTGCAAAATCCTTATATTTATTATTTGGGAAAGGAGACAAAGTGAAGCACTTGCAGAAATTGCAAGCCACTGCCTCAAGGCAAGAGAGAGTGCCTATCTGTGGGCTTCTGTGAGAGGTTTGAGACTTTTAGCCTTCCATCCTAGAGCTGCTTTTCAGCTGCTTTTGTTACATGACCTTTAAACTACGTAGGTGATATATCTTAAAATTATCATGGAATAATCAAACCAAACATAGGATCCAGTGTTCAATATGTTATTTAAAAGCTTGGGGGTTATTTTCTAACAATATAGTAAATTACCTAAAGCTAACTACACACTTCTTCCTGAGAAACAAAACTGTTTATAATTAAATGATTTTATATAGGTCATTATATAAATAAATGTATTTCATATACAGATATGAAAAAGAAAACGTTAAATATTCCCTTTTACATATCTGTTACTTGTTATTTTGCCAATTTGAGGTTTAGAGCCCAATTATTTAAACCCATTAAACTAGTTGCTTTCTCCTGAGAACTTGGGTGCTAGGATCCCAAAATAGAAATATACAATACACATGATCTTTGCAGGGAGAAACGACATGAGAGCAAGATACAAAAAATATTGGAAAACCCTAAATATTATTGAATCAAATTATCTGTGGTAATGGTATGTTGCACAATCCATCCTCAGCTTCACTCTTGAAAAATCAGATTTGGAGATTTTTTTTTAAATGTACAATTGGATTTCTCTTTCTTCTTTCTTTGCCTTTCTTGCTATGATGATTATTGCTATTTCCAGCATTTTTGAAATCAAGATTCTGGAGGCACATTCAAAATGTAAGGGCTTGTGTTAACCTTTTTCCATTTAAAGATGCTGAAAGGGGAACTAGTTGTGTGTCGCCAACATCCCGGGAGCTTTCATCAGGAACAGTTCTGGCAGCACTTGATTCTGAAATGCTTCCTTGACGCCTCAGTATTTTCATTATTGTCCTTTTGTATCCTCTGCAAGCAAAGAAATAGATGAAAGGATCCATGCAGCAATTTAAGTTCATCAGGAGTACAGTATAGTGGAGAGATTTTTGAAAGATCTTTTGATGGCTGCATAAAATATTTCCTTGTACAAGCTTCTTAATCATATATATAATAATGGCAAGATGATAGGGAGTAAGACAGATTACAAATACAACAATGATGAAGATAATTATATTAATTGCCTTTTTGTTTGTTCCTGATTTTTCTGCTAGTGGGTTTTGTTTTGCAGTTTGACACAGTTTGTAACTGATTTTTGAATAACAGATTATTGTAATTGCAAGAGGAACCACATATCCAAGTAAACAGGCACCTAGAAGCATCAGAGGGAGTTGTTCAATTTGTTCAAAGTTTGGATATTCCATGCACGTGGTCCTTTTTTCTTCTTTACGTGACAGGGGTAGTGTAAGTAATGGGAGAGTTTGGACAAGTACAAGAAACCATACAAAGCAAAAAATGTATGTGGCACTTTTAACTGTTCTGAACTTGGTTTTTAAAGGATGAACCACAGCTACAAATCTGTCGATACTCAAGCATGTCATAAAATTCACAGCTGCATAAATGTTGATATAAAAGAATAGGGCTGTAATTTTACAGAGTACCTCTCCAAACGGCCAGTGAAAACCCAGTGCATAGTATGCTATTCTTGTAGGTAAAGCTGTTGTAAAAAGAATGTCTGACACAACAAGATTTGTTGAGTAAATAGTGGTCGAATTCATTTTTTTCCTATTTTTTACAATCACAGTGAGAGCAAGTCCATTTCCAAGTACTCCAATTATGAAAATAACACTGTAGAAGGTAGGCAATAAAATCCTTGCTGAATCTTCATGTTCATATAAATCACAAGTTTGATTTGTTATAGAAGATGGAGAGGCTAAGTTTGTTGCCATGGTTAATATGACTCGAAATTCAGAAGGCCTAGAAAAAGTGACAAAAGAAGGAACAGAAAGATGTTAGGATGAATTCAAATGTTCTGTTTTTTTAATAGCTAAGCAGTTTAGAAGTTCAGAAATTAGATAGTATGAAATTATTTCTTCATTTCAAAAACAACAAAATTCTATCTTGTCAATATGCAAATGATTTTTTGATTTAACATTGTTAGGTAACATAGGGTAATTTTAAAATAAGATGATAGCAATAATTTAAAAACTGACAACAGCTTCCCTGTTGTCTTAAGTATTAATACATGTGCTCTCTTAGGTTCAGCTTAATAAATAAAGATATAAAATTATGAATGGAAAAATATGTTTTATGGAAATGAAATATCACAGAATCCTTTCCCCTCTCCCTCCGCCCCAAAAAGTCATCTAGAATCAATTTGGAAATGTGTGGCACCTACACTGAATTAAATAAAGAGATAAATAATAGGGAAATAATGATTGGTGATTAAAATGTTAGGGAAGTAATAAAAATACTATTAAATATTGAAGTTCTATTTTGTGCTATCACATAAATTTTGAGGCATTTGGATTTTTTGTTTTAGTTAATGTTAACTTTTCTCCATTGACTGGATTTCAATATTAGAAATATTTTACATGCTTAAGAAGTTGACTGTGTCCAAATTAAAGGTCTCTGCTAATTATTTATCGCAAATACCCTTTTTCTATTGTAAAAACTAACTGAGGTAGCCTACAGTTTTAAAGCATAACAATAAATAAATCATCTAAAACTAAAAATAATCTTAAAAATAAGATATATTGGATTAGTAGACTGAGCAGCAGCAAGGGAGATAGTTGTAAAGACCAAATGAGTTTCAGGTCTTTTCATTTCCAGGTTTTCATGATTTCTTTTATTTTGTTCTATCTAGTGTACAGTTAGCAAATCGAATTGCTTAACAGTATTACACCATTCTTGCAGCATTATTAATGTAAGCAGGATATTAGTCCACTTTATACTGAATTTACTTTTGAACTTAACCATTGTAGATGTGTATTCTGGAATAAGGAACAAGGGCTGTTGAAATGAATGGGTTGCAGGACTTGTATTTTATATTATTTTAATTTTTAAATTTAATTTAATATTATGTTAGAAAAAGATGAGAAATAAGGACAACAAATAAAGAAAAGGAAGAAAGAGGATATATTGCCATAGCTATATATGGGGCATTGGATGCTCTTAATGTAAAACAAATTTCCATATGATGTAGGAGATGACCAGGCTCAGTCTGAGGGAGGGGTCAAAAGCAACATAAGTCATGAGTCCCTGCACACCTGCAAGACATCTAAGTCCAGCCCATCTTGTATGCCTTCTTATTCCCAATCATTCCCCTTGACCATTAGTAGGTCAGATTTTTGTAGAGAGCTTCAGCTTGCAATAAATCTTTATACTCATTTGAATTGTCTGAATCTCCTGTTTTCCCCTGCTTTCCCCAAATTTTAGTATATTGTTAACTTTAATGTATGGGATTTTAGTAGTTATAATATTATAATATTAGAAGTAATGTTAGAAATGTTGTTGCATAACAATAATCCTGTCAGCTCGGTCTGTTAGCTAACATGGAACTGCTCACCCCAACCATAAAGGTAAACAGGAGCCAGAGTGGCAGGGAACTATCACTTTCTTTTCCTTGCTGCTCTTCTTTTCAATTTTTCAATATAAAATTGTTATATCAATTTTTTGTACATAAGCCAGTTTTGTTGGCATTCAGACATTTTTATTTTATGTTTATGGCTTTTAATTATTCTTGCTTTGTTGTATTTTACCCAAGCTCAAAATGTTAATAAATCAATTTTATTTAAATTTGAAAAGCAGATTATTCTGTTTGTTTTTATATGAAAATGGTTGATGAGAAGTAAAGGCATCCTGTTTTAAATCTTTAACCTGTATAAAACTTGTGTCTTTAATAATAATAGCTATGGGATACACTTCTATAACACAGATGTTAATTAGTCCCTTAAACTGATATTTAGCTGTCAAAACTTGAGTCTATGTTTTTTTTATAATGGTAAGAGTTTCTTGAAAGATATATTTGCAATTTTGTCAAAATAAAATTCCATAAAACTACACCATATGCATTGAAGTTAAATTCTGTAAGAGAACACTGTTATTTGGAAATGGTCAATGTTAACGTAAAAGTAAAATGTATGTGATATAGTACATTTTAACTGCTTTAATTAAATGAAAAAAGAAGAAAAACCATCAGAAAAAATAAAAAGAGAAAAGAAAAATATATTTTATACAGAGGAAGTCAGTAAGCCCATCATTAGTCCTTGATCATGCAGAATAATAATGATTAATCTTTCCACTATACTGTCAGAAAACAAATTAGGCAGAAGTGTTTATATATGATTGATCCAGGAATGGTAAACCTGGAGTTGAATGCATTTTCAGTATTGTGTTTGCAGCATCTTTTGCTGAAAAGATCAGTCTGGTAAAGCATAGCTCTTTATATAAATTCCAAATGCTTGGTATACAGATCAAGAATACATTCAAATCTATAAGCCATATTGTAAACAACATATTATCAGTCTTATAGATATTAAACCAAAATTGGCAACATTAGGAGAAGCTTATATCATAAATGAATCAACTCTGCACTTGCAGCATACTGAGGTTGACCGCCAACTTTTTAAAAACATTCTCTGAGGTGTCCAATTAAACTGAAAGTTTTTCTAATTGTTGTAACATCGCAAGAAGCATATTTTGTATTCTTTTAAACTTCTACTATTGAATTTCTTTCAACTTGTTATCCCAGAGTTGTTGCTAGTATCTACCTTAACTCTATTCATTAATTTTTCACTTTTAAACTGTTAATATCATACAAAAGATTTATATACTAATATTGACAATAATTTTGGAGTTTATATACTACTGATGCATCTGGACCAAATTGCGAAATCAAGATAAATTTTAACTAATTATACTCCAGGGGCAATTTTCAGCAATCTAATCTCTTCTGACAGAAGACTCGGGTGAATTAAAGGCTTGATTAGCAATAACCTGGTCCAAAGATTGGATGCTTTTCCATGACTTTTCCCCCCAAAGAATATCTACAATTTTCAAATTGAAATTATCCTGAAAGAGAAATTTGTTAGATAAATAAGTGTCACCAATATGCTTCATCCCAGCATGTTCCCCAAAAAATGGAATCAGCCCCCCATAAACCTGCCTTTTTAAGATCTTTCAAGTATTTTTGGTTCAATTAACTGTCCAGAAAGATACTATAGGGATTCTGTTAGTCCAGCATATAATGATTCCAAGACTAATTAAATGGGAATAGACAGCACCCTGTTCAATGGGCGGAACTTTGATTATATACAATATTCTAAAGAAACCAAGATGATTTTTCCAAATGAATAATGCCATATAAAGATGAAATAAAATAAAACATTTTAATGGAGGGCTGAAGTGTATGACATTTTAAGCACTGAAAGGGAATTTCAAAGTTTATGTTTTATTTTTAATAATGTTTATCTTAGAGCAAAACCAAAACAACTTAAAGCAAATTGTCTCTGAGACCTTTGCTTTGCCTATGATTAATTGTTTTTATAGTTAGATGTAGTTAATCCTTATATTTTTGCTATTCAAATAAAAGTTAATTATAATCCCAGAATAAAAGCCTGCTGCCCAGTTGGTAGTTCATTTGTTTGCTTTGATGAACTACTGAAGTTTGATAAATATTCATATTTTACAATAATTAATCTATAGAAAAAATGTTATCTGTACTTACGTTTTGCTCCTTCATTAAGTTCTCTGCTGTGTTCCTTGTTGCGGTACATTTCATATGCAACTGTTTCCTCTTTGGTATATTGTTCTTAAGACTGATTAGGTCACACTCCCCTTTTATAGAGATGAAGCATTTCCTCTCTCTAAAACTGAAGCATCTAGTGTTCTGGATAAAATAGTAGCCTTTGTAGACATAAGTAATGCAGAAAGAAGAAGCAAAATAACTGTTTCGCAAAATAAGGTGAAAGTATATAATGTTCAGTGTTTGCTGTTGCTGCTGTTGCAAGTATTGTGAGCTTTTCTTGTTGTGAAAGGGGCAGAGGTTTCCAGTCCCAATCTTACAATGATAGCATCTTTTGAAAACCAAAGATCAAACTTAGATGTAATTGGGACATTTGTGTGTTTCATTTTAATGCACCCTATCCATTCACATTTCAAATTTCACATTTCAGCTGACAGTTTTTCTTTAGATTTTCCTCACTTCCTGCTCATTGTCAGGGGAGAGGATGACTGTCCTTTCCTATGGACCAGTTATATATTTAAACTAAACTGTGCATTTCCCATGCTATATTTGTATTGGATTATATATGAATGATACATATTTCTAGACTAGCCTACAATAATATTGCCAAAGGCTATTAATGGGAAAAAATGTTATGTTAATGCAGAATAGTTAATTGTGTAGTTGGGCAAAGAGAAGACACAAATTCAGTGCAGGAGAGACCAAAAGAAGTATGCTGGAGTGAGAATGAAAATACCTAAAACACAGCCAGTGCAACAGTCTAGTTTCCAGGAAATACAATTTCTTTGCTGTATTTTGAGCATATTCTATAATACACAAATGGAAAGATACATAATAGCTTTAGTTCTATCATTCAGTAAGTATTTTGTTAGATGGAACTTGAGATTTGTGAGATAAGAACAATAATTCTTTTCTATTAAACCAATACATTAGGTTTCACTTGCCGTTTGGGGCACAAAATAATTAAATAATACTTGTGTTTTTGTCAAGGCTTATTCAGATCAAATCAAATATTTATTATGGTCACAGGCCAGGATATGTCCAAGTCAAGGCTTATTAAAGAATATTAAATTTCAGTGGGAACCCCAACAGTGCACTTCAGTTAGACATGAGGGTAGAAAAACATTATACATATTGAGAAACATAAAAAAATAACTCTTGGATAACAGTTTCCAATATGATGGATTTATGTGTTTTTGGAAGTAGACGTTACATATATAATTAGGCATATTATTAGATTTGTGAGAAATGATTGTTTGCTAGTACAAAATACGGGTATACATATTTTGTCTATATACATTTATCAGTAGTGTGATACTGTTAGCACCACAATATCTACCAGAGCTCTTGACATTCTGATATTACTTAATATTTTTTAAACTTAGGAAATGGAACTTTTTAATGTTCCAATCTCCTGAATGCCCTTGACTCTGACAAAATCCCACAACGTTTTTCAGATAAAGAGGACAGGCTAGTTGTAAGCCAGAGTTTTGTTGCTAGCCACCAGACATTAAAAGAAAAGAAATCTGATTAATCTGGAAAAATGTACTAGTAGTCTTGTTCGTAGGGCATGTTTAACTGAGTCAGAAAAAGAGATAGTGTGATATATGAATTGCGATATTTATTAACAAGTTTGTGGGGTAAATTTTAACCCATAACAGGTTTAGGGTTGGTGGGACTAAACCTTTGTCAGTCAACTGTGTTATACAAATATGGATAAGAGAGTTAAAACACTCTAATGTTGACAGATATCCTAGATTGACTCACAAAAAGAGGATTGCTATGCCAACACTGTTTCTTTTCCATCTTACTTTTCATTCTCCCACTGCCCAATGGATTGGAGAATAAGGGCAGAAGGTTATGGAAATGATAAGCCACCCCATCTCTTTTGGCAGTTGACATCAGGTCACTGTGTTGTTTTTTCTAAATGGTCCATGAAAACCAGCAATGGTGGAAAGTGACAGATTTTAATTGCTTCTGTTGTCTAAGACAACTTTTATTGTACTGTATGATTCCAGCTCCCTGGGTTAAGCATATCGTGCAGACACTTCTAGTAACTTCCCTAAGCTCTTATAAGTTCATGAACAAAGTAGAAGAGAAATTTCTTAGTTCACATTTTCCCAGCCATTACACCATTATATGGGTGTAATGTTCAAGTTAGATGAACAAGTATGCTGATATAGCTCGGATCAAAGATTTCCCACAAGACCAGTTTGACAATAGAAATATTCCTATAGAGCAGACTACACAACAGATGGCCCACAGGATGCATGTGGCAGTCCAGTGGTTGTCAACCTTGTGAGGTAGTCCACACCAGAAGTCCTAGCCCTAATTTTATTGCAGAGGACATTAACAGAACCTTGCAAGTCTGAAAGTACATCTTTCCCCCCAAGAAACTAGGGAGGCCTCCTTTAAGACATTTGTCATGCCCCTGTTCTTTCTGCAGACTCAGATACCAGACCATTGTTTAGTCTATGGGTCTTCTCTTGTCTTTCAAGGTCATCCCACCTACTATTACACCATTGTAAAAAAAAAAATAACCAATCCGCTGCCATCAAACATTGCACTGGCAAGAAGGATTTGCCTAGTTTTTTGCAGTTTCTTCCACTACAAAAGATATGCTGCCAAATACCTTCAGGTCTCATGGATGCTGCTAGCTGATACTGTTGCATTGGTAGTCTCCAAACAACTGATCAGCACACCAGCTATTCCTCAGTGACCCACAACTATTTTTAAGATATCCATCTGGCCTTTTCCCTTTTCCCATTTTGTTGGCCTGTGGTAGAGTGATTTCTCAGGAAAAGAATGGTCAGCTGCGAAAGATCAGGAAATGTATGTCTGTGGCTATGTGACAAGAAGTGTGACAAATAAGAAGAACTGGTTTCCCATTCTTTCTTTTCCTCATTTTTGGCAGCAGCATGCATCTCAGAATCCTCTCCAGCTTCTTATAATGAAGATGCTGGGAATCATAGATGAACAAGAAACAGCAGCCTTTTGTGGTGCTAGGGAATGTGTTAAAGAGAAAGATCTAAGAAATCTGTTTTTAAATTTGCTGCACATTGTGTGGTGAAGCAAGAGAGAAAGGGAGAAAAAAGTTGTTTTGATGTTAAAGTAGAATAAGAATGCTTGGTGTTAAAAAAGCTATCAGAATTAACAATCTATCAATGGAATTTTCCCCTCATTAAGAAGTTAAGTTGGGGAAAACTGCCTTTTTAAAATCCTGTTGACCATACTTGACATTTAAAACTTATGAAATATCTGAAACTATCTATTATATAGACACAAAAATTAAAATTATTGTCTAAATTCAACACTGTACAGAGAAGAGGAAAAGAAGGGTTTAATCAAACTGAGTCATAATATATAGCTTAGTACTTCCATAATATGCTAACAAATTGCTTGGGTTTATGCAACCTACTGAACCAAAATCTGACCCACATTGTCTGAATATGAAAGCATCAGGCTAGAGCAGGGGTGTCAAACTGCCAGCCCGCGGGCCGGATGCGTCATCTGGAAGCCGCGCCCACCCCATTGCCAGCAATGGCAAAACCGTCCTGCTATGTTGTGCGACTTCATGTAATGTCGCGAGTTTGACATGCCTGGGCTAGAGGGAGATTGGATCCAGCAAATGTACAAAAGTGTGGTGGGGCTGGGTACCATGAGATTTGATGTTAGCATTACTGATTTCTTCTTTATGATTTATTATTTTTGCTGCGAATCACCCATAAGATGGGTGGCCGTATAAATATTTTAAATAAATATACAGAACTTGAATAATTAAAAGAAAATATCATTTGCATTGATTTTCATTTGATTTCTGGCAGTATTTATTTGTATGTCAAAGTAGCAGCTCACAATAAATTATTGTTTGTGGAGTCATTGGTGGCTTCTGAATTTGGTTGCTTGCTTGCAGACATTTTGTTACCTATCTAGATAACATTATCAGTGTACCACAAGGACTCCACAGTTCTACCTATTACATATTCCCTTCTCTTAAAACTATCACTTGTATGCAGCATTCAAATATCTTTTGTGGTATTTAAAATGTATCTGTTAGTAAACTGACTACAGTATTTAATACTTTAAAATGTACTAAAATGCATTTGATTATTCAAAATAGTTAAGGAAGAGAGTTAATACTTTCTGTAAGAATTCTGTTGATATTCCATTTTTGCATATATTTTGTCTCAACAGCTTGGGGCCTGTATTTGCTCTTTTTGTTCCATTTTATTCTTCCATTCCAAGAGTACAAGTGACACAAATTCTAGGACAATTTTCCATCACAAACAAGACGCTGGTTTATATATTGGGTTTGCAGGTTTGTATGTGTTAATTTGTTTTGCCTTAATTTGGCAGTTCTGCATTTTCCATTTGCACCCACTATTTTCTAGAAACTCCAGGTACAATAACCCTTATTTCCAAACATTTAGTCCTAAGAATTCCAAAACTGATTTTTAAAAATACACTAAACACTGTAGCGTAAATCTGCAGATGCCCAGTAAATTGATACAGATAGCAATAGGAGCTTAATGATGATACTCAGTACATATGTATCTTGCATGTGAGTGAAAGTTAAACCTTAATACATCCCATAGCTTTACCCCACTTTAATTGCTAGCAATGGGGAAACCAATTTTCAGTGTGCTTTTAGTATTTTATTTTATAATAGATTTTGGTTGGACTTTGGTTTAAAATTTCCTATAGAACTCAAATTTCCATCCTAGACTAATGAATTCATTTGTTTATTATTTATTCCCTTATTAATAAATGTGTTACCCTACAATTTTATTTTTTAAAAACACACCTAAGAGAATATTTTATGTTGGGGAGATGCCTGTCTTCTGTTTCTTCCATTTTTAAATAATTCTATAACTCTTAGGTAATCTGTTTGACAGATAGCTACTTCAATAATAAATTATGGCTTTTCATTGGCAAATAACCTTTCAGATCAGGCTATTAATATGGATTTAGTCTGGATGACACTTTTACACTTCCCTAAATATTCAGACCAATATGTTTTGCAACTCCTTACTTAATTAAGCATTTCCATCTTACAGCAAAGCAGAGCAACTCTTGACAGTTTTCTAGATATTATCATAGCTTCACTTTCTTTGCTTTCCAATCTTATCATAATGAACTGATAGGTGCCGTTAAAAATCACTCTTTCTTTCATTCTGCCAGCGATTGAGATCATGCTGTAATCTCTCTTGCAGAATAATTAAATATCTGACATATGATAAATTTTGTGTTTTGTACATTGCAAGTTCTATTTTTTAAAAATGGAAGATAGACATAATATAGTTTGGATTTTGAAAGTAGTGTGCAAAGTTTTAAACAACTCTTCCTAATTCTCTTTCTGTTAGTCTGAAAAATGCAGTTGGCCATTTTTAATTTGTTACATATTCATTTTCAGTTCTTTTTGTAGCAGTGTCAGGGAGGAATAAATAATTGTTTCATTGTATACGGGATGGATGGATAGATAAACAGACAGACAGACATCTCTAATTAGTATTGCTCTATTTGATGTAAGCATCATAGTATAAAGTAAGTTAAAATAAGTTTCTGAGCAAGGGTATATTCTTGGTATTTTTGTTGCCTGATTTGTTTTTAAAAGCTGTGGTTTTTTTTCTTGAACATATAGATGGTTAATAAAAGGCAAAGGCACTTTTTTACATGTTTACTGTAAGAAGTTGGTTTTCATAATACATTCTGGAGAAAAGAGTTTTATTAAATCAAACTGAATTTTACAATAAAAAAACTTAGCAATCCCAGCAAACGTTCACTCCTTTTGTTCTACTTTTTCATTCAGCTTTATTCAGATTCCATTCAGCCTTCGTTCAGATTTTTCAGTTGCTCTGCTTCCAGAACCAAATCTTGCTCTAAACTCATAACATTTAAACAATTACTTGAGCCCCTTTATTGCACAAAAACAAAAATGTAATTTATGATATTCTCTCTTTTATTGTATTTGAGTTAGTGTTGAAATAATATTAGCATAAGGACTGTGCAATCTAAATTCCATTTTAAATTACACATTTTTGTTTTATAGCTTTTAACCTCTGGGTCTTACATATGGATTGTAGCTTTAAGTGGCCTGGTAAGTATAATTATTTTAATTACTGCTTTGATGCTTTTCATTAAGGTATAAGAAAGCATCTATGGGATGTGTTTTTTCTTTAATTCTTACTTCTCTGTAGTTTTTCTTCTTTCATATTTACATCTTTTGACAAATTCAGTTTGCTTTAGGAATATACACGAATAGGTAGTTTTTTTTAAAAAAATCTGGAACAGTCTACTAACAATCCTTCCTACAGTCACTCATGCCCTGATCACCTCAAGCCTTGACTTCTGCAATGCAATCTACATGGGCTGCTCTTGAGCCACACTTGAAAACTTCAAATGGTCCAAGACAAAGTGCTATGGGCATGATGGGTATACCTCAATAAACCATTTGGTTTATGAGTTGCATTGGTTGCCTTGTTGTTGAAATTCAAAGTCCTGTTCATAATCTATAAAGCCCTACACGGCTGCCTGTCTCCCATACTATCTGTCCAACCAATTAGTTCTGAAAGGGTTGGTATGCTCCATTTTTTAATTAAACAATGACATCTGTTGGACCCCAAAAATGCACCTTCTTTGTAGCAGCACCTGTACTCAGGAATGAGATTCCTCCAAAATCTGGACATCTCCCAACCAACTAATGTTTTGAGGGGAATTGAAGACTTTGCTCTAAGTCAGGGTGAGTGAAGCCTCCTTTGGACTACATTGGGCTATTTCTTTTGTTTCCTTCATTTCTTTGTTGCTCTTCCCATCTTCACTCTTTTTTGTCTTTTGTCTTTTTTTTCTTGCTTTTAACATTTTTTAATCTGAAACTGCCCAGAGTTGTTGAGAGTTGGGTAGTATCTACATTTAATAAAGTGCATAAATAATAAAATAAATGTTCTAAATATTCTGCTGAACCATGGTTGGAAAGTCCCCTTGAATTATTCTAAATTTTGCCATGTTTCATTGCTGCAATTGTAGGAAATGTTTTTCACAGATCATGAGTGGATCATTTTTCTAGTCACTGGAAATTTTATCACAAGATCACAAAATATTTTGTTCTTTTTCTAGTGTGTCTATATTATTCTGCAATAAAGTTCTAAGGCAACTTTCCTATCAAAGTATACAAACTAAAGGGTAGAATACTTAAAACTAAAAACTATAGAACAATTTAAAGTTTCATAACAAAGGTAATGAAATTAAAGAAATTTATTAAAGAATTGAAGTTTAATGAAATTTAGTTTATAAGGAAGAACTAACAGAACCATGTGTTCCTCTTTATTTAAAACATCTGTCTACAAAGGAAAGTGCCTATTTAAACACATACAGTACATAATTTTATTTTGGGCAATATAAAACAATGTTAAGGAAGAGGAAAGTTTTGATTTGTGAATCTGTTTATATAATATCTATAATAGGCATTACTTATATATATAAAACCTTTTTATCTTTGTTTAAATTTTATTTTACATTTTTAACATAAACAATTAACCAAACAATATTTAAATTTAAAATAAAAAATAGAAACCAAAAAACAAAAGAGGAAAAAATAACTCCCAAAACACTAAAGAAAAAGAAAAATATCTTATATATTGTATTTATCAATACAGGTAATCCTCAACTTACAACCAGTCACTTTAATGACCTTTTGATGTTACAACAGACTTAGAAAAAGTTAGCTATGACTCATCCTTGAAGTTATAAGTGCTATACCCGACATGGTCATTTGATTGCATTTCAGGAATTTGGCAACCTGTTTGTGCTTAAAATTGATTACCAATCAAGATCATCTGAAATCTTCTCTGCTGGTTTCCTCATAAAATCCATGGGAAAGCTGTCAGAAAAGGGGGGAAGCTGACAGGAAAGTTTGCAAACTATTGCCCCTTTGTGCATCGGGGGGGGGGGACTTCTGCAGCAGGCTGGAGAAATTAAGCTCAGATTCCATGTGCAGAAGGGAATTTCAGCACTGGGCTGGAGAAAAGAAGCTTACAACCTGAAGATCAGTCTTCCTTGCCTTCAGAAACACTTTGCTAGCTTTCTAGCCAGAAAAACAAGCAAATGCAATATTTCTGAATGGTAGAAAGGCTAGGGCATGGAGGGGAGGGAAACTTCTCTGGCAGATGGGGGAGAAAGGAAGTTCAGATCCTAAAATCCAAGCTTCCTTTTTCCACCCTAGTGCAGCAGTTCCCTTCACACATGGAGGAGAGAAGAAGGCCTGGAGAAACAAAACATGGCCTTTGGGATTTGAGCTTCTTTTCTTCATCCTGCCCTCTATTGGCAGGCAGCTCTTTCGTTCTATCTGTTTAATGACCCATGCAGTCATTTAACAACCACAGCTGGGACTGAGATTGCAGTCATTGAGTGAAGCTGTTATGTGGAACAACCAAAAGTTTGGGTCTAATTGTGGTCATAAGTTGAGGACTATTTGTCACTGGTTTATTAATAAATACACTAATATAATCAATACAAAACATTAACTGTAAAATATCACACTATCTTTGCTATATCTTTTGCTGTATCTTTTGATTAGTAGAAAATACTGCCTTTTCCAAAAATGTGGAATTGTGGATCTGTGGTGAAAGGGGCCAGGGGAACCAAAGAGACATTCCAGTTTAGAGTCAGTTCAGAGGAGGAAATGTCTGAGATCAAATCTTAGGTCTATATGTGCAGGAAGTCTGGCAAAATTCTTGTAGTATAGGTGATTAACAATAAAATATTTGTTTGGGCCTATCTACAGGTGATTCTGGTTGATTGCATCTGACAAGATCACACATTTCTGATCTGGAATAATATCACTTCCAATTTCTTAAATTGACTTTTAGCCATTCTCATGCTTGATAAAACCATAATTAAGTTTCCAATGAGTTACATTCCAAAGTGTTGTCATTTAGTTCAAGATCACAAAACCTGTTCTTTCAAATATAGTCTCTGTTTAATACTGCTTAAATGCAATTTTTGATTGATCTCATATATAATATATAACATCTATAATGAAAATTCATGATAGCTGCTGAGGCTACATTCCAGCAGATCTGTGATGATATAAATGACTATAAGTCACCTGGAATTGCCTTAGTGAGATGAGAGGCATGGAAATTTAGTAAAATGAATAAATCAGATCTCCTCAATTCTGTGCCTTCCATATTAACTTCCTTAATCTGCAGCCAATTTAGTCAATGAGATTATGGAATTTGAAACCCAACTCATCTACCAAACATGAAATTAGGAAAGCTGATTTTGCATAGACATTACATATAAACAAGGGCTTGGATGATCTTATTTAGCTACTTGCCTTAGGAAACAAACATTAAAAGGCACGTATTTTGTAAGTTCACATACTAATTTTCATAACTGAAAATTTCTGAAAATTCATATACATATACACTGGCTGCAGTTTTTCTTTTGGCAGCTTTATTCCAAACATACATAACATATGGAAAAAATGCTTTATGCAGATTGCTAATGCACAGAAAATGCAGCATGAGAGTAAATATGGTTGCATGCTTCTACTTAAAATGTATATCTTTTCTAAGTCACCTTCCTTTTAGTAAATTCCTATCACTTAAATACAGTGAATTTTTGTAAAAAATCCAGAGTGGGGTCTTTCCCAGAGTGTGGGAAAACCCCTCATCTGCCATAGACGTAATCCTTCAATTTGAGTAAAATAGACTTGCAGTTTACTGTTTTTAGTTCTGCAACTGCCTCCTCTCTTCTCCTGATTATAACTATAATTAAAAGATGATAATTATAATTGAAAGTACTCCCACTAAAATGCAACCTTTTGACAAATAATTTAGGGTTACAGTTTCTTTTATGACAATCATTTTCCATCAGTGTACTGAATTGCTTTTTCTTTTTACTTCCCCTTATATGTTATATAAAGCTTTCTTTAAAATAGATATGTAGTTTGCAAATGTCAGCAAATGCAAAAAACTAAGTCTCTGTTTGGTTTTCAGTTAACATGTTGTTGTTGCCCTGCAACTGTTGAGGGGAGGGAAAGAAAAGGAACAAACGTCAGGATTTAGAAATGGTAATAACCTTTCGTGACAAAGGAGTATTGCCATTCAGTGAACACCAAGCATGGCCCTGATGTTAATTTTTAATAATAATATTTTAATTTATATACCATAGAGGTTTTCAGACTTTGGCCTTGTACAGGTAAAGTGGGGCAAAATTCAGAAATCTGACAATGCTAAAAATTTTACCTGAGTAAATCTGATCAGATTATTTTTTAAGTTGTTTTGAGATGCTCTCCACAATTTTAAAATTCCCAAGATAGAGACTACATCCATTTCCCCAACAAAATTTAGGAACGCCATGCCAGCAAAGCTGTCTAAAAATCTATTCAGATAAAAGAGGAGGCAAATGAAAGCAGATAAGGTGAAGTTAGTTTTTTAGGGAGTGGGGAGGGAGATATATAAATTCTCAGTGTACTGTAATAGTTATGGTGAGTTCTAGTTAATTGTGTACATGTTGACATACATTGTTCTCAAGCATGTACAAGTAAGAGTGTATACAAAAGTTCCTTAATTCAGAGCTTTGTGTATATACACAAGCTCTTAGAGATATGTAGACTTATCACCACCCTCAACGTACAATAGTTCCTCATATGCTCAGTGAATTTGACACTAACTCTCATAGTCATACAAGAAAATGTTCCAGGCTCAGGTTTGTCTCAAGTGCTGCTGTGAATGGTTTGTATGACTTATGCTGTCCATACCTAAATATGTTCCTCTCCTTTGGAATATTGTGATTCAAATAGCAGCAACCTGGAAGACTATTCTCTTCAAATTACTAAATATAGACTGATTAACTCTATTTGGACAGTATAGTAGAGAACAGTGGGAGTTCTCTTGTGTTGCTCAGGCAGGTCATGTTCCAGAGAAGTCTTGACTTGATCAGCCCAATGACGTGGTTCAAACACTGGCTTGTGAGCTAAAATAATAGGTTCCATTACCAAATGGGGAATTTAAACAAAATACAGGTTCTTCTTGCTTTATGCTAGGTCACATTTCCTGAAAACAAAGCAAATTTGCATAAAGCAAGACACTGAAC